TATCCCATTTTTTATTTCCACATGTTTCTAAAATACAATCAATTCTTCCTTTAGCATATTTTTTTGTTCCATTTACACAAACACAATGATCACATCCATATCCTCCATCACATTCTTCATAAGCATCTATTTTCCCATTACCACATGTTGGAACAGCACATTTTATTATACCATTTATATTAACAGGTTCAGAACCATATACACAATTACAAGCTGAAGTACATTGACTGTCTACATATCCTTCAACTGAAAAATCACAATCTTCACCATAATCTAATTTTCCATTTCCACATAATGTACAAGCTCCATTAATTGATACATAATTATCTAAACATTCACACCCTCCAGAATAATCTGAACATATACCATATTCACAATTTCCTGGACATGTCATTTTTATTGTTAAATTTATTGTTGAAAATGATGTGTCATAAGAACCAACAAATAACAAATAAGTTTCATTATGACTTAATGTAACAATAGCTCTTGCAGAACCAGAATTATTATGACAACCATTACTTACTGTTTTCATACATTTAAATTCATTTGAATTACAATCAATAAAACTAATATCAGAAGTATCATCAATATTATATTTTGTTGAATTAATAGAAATAATATCAAAAATAATGTTACGTTGTTTTGAATTACAAGTAAAAATTTCAATTGTTTGATCGATGCCATCTATTCTAAACCAAAATCCTTGAATTTTATCTTGTCTACAAATTGATTGTGATAACAAAGAATATTTCATATCAAGTGGTATAGTTATATTTGATTTAGATAATCCATTCCAATTTATATTTTGATATACTGATGAACAAATATGAACTAATTGACTAAAATATATTGAAATATCAGGTAATATAGATGAAGCATATTTTGAATGAAGAAAAAGGTATTGTGGAATATTTTCATTTAATAATAAACTTAATCTTGGAGAATGAATATTATCATTTATTCCTTCATTCATTGATATACATCCAGCAAAATGAATGAGAGAATTTACATTTTCACATGTATATTGTGAAGAAAAAGCGAATTTATTACCTTTTTCAGTTTGAATAAAATTTATCACCTCATTATCTTGTTTATGATATTTTTTATCAATTTCAACAAGAACCCATTCATTAATTGTTGATAAAACTTTAATCCAAATACCATAAGTATATGGTTTATTTTCTTCAACATTATAAGAACAAGAACTATATTCTAATTTTACATTTTGAAGGTGATGGATAACATTTTTCTTACCATTTTCAGTATTCTTATTTTTTCCATTTAAAATAAATGAAAACGAAGAAATATTTTGAAGCTCCATTCTTTGAAAAAATTCACTACATGATTCAATATTTTTATCATTATATTTTCCACATTGTTTTTTTCCAAAATACATAAATTCATCTTCACATCCACTACAATCCTCTTTATATCCAAGATTCGTATCACAATGGTCACAAATATCTGGTTTATTACACCCACTTAAACATGCTTTTCCATAAACACATGACATAATACATTTCCCTTTCCCATCTGATAAATATCCTTCTTCACAAATACATTTTGAATTACATCCAATTCCTCCATCACATTCTTCACTAAATTGATCCCATAATCCATCTCCACACTTACTTTCTAAATAAAATTCTGACTCATTAACTAGCCTACTTTTTGTAAATAATACAAATAAAATAAATAAATAATAATTTATTTTCATATTAGAATGATATTTTTGCATATTTTGAAGATTGGTCAACACAACTTTTTGTATAACTAATTTCTTTTTTATGACTTTTATTAAAAATGTTTCTAAAAATCTATAGTTAGAATTATGAAATTATTTAAAAATGAGGTTCTTATTAAAACCTCATAATAACAATAACTCTTAATTATTTGTATTACTTTATTTAGGTCGTGTATATGCTTCAAATAATTTCTTTTTCTCAATATAAAGTTGTTCTTTATATGCTGTTTCCCATTGGTCTTCTTCTGGTTTTACTGAACATCTATAAATTAACTCTTCTCTAGAAATATTACAAGCCATTGCTTCTAATGTATCAATACATACTGAAATATTATTTGGTTTTGGTTTATCATATCTATAAATATGATATTTCCATTGTCCACTCCAAACATCTAAAGAAGTTTCAACAACTCCACTTCCATTCCATCGATAAATAGCTTTATCATCTTCAAAATGTTTTAAATCTTCTTTACTAAAATTAACTTTTCTTAATAATACCTCTTTTCTTCCATCACTACAATAAAAGGTATCATCTCCATTTTTTGAAGTAGTTATTCCATAATCAATTGTCCAATGTGTCATATATTTCCATTTAAATAATCCACTATTAGCAAATGGTTTATATTCAATATCTGGTGCAAAAATAATACCATCAGATCTATGACATCTGATGTCGTCTTGAATAATATAACTCCCAATTTCATGTGAAAAACAAATTAATTGAAAGATAGAATTTATTTCTTCTTTTGTATAAAATTTTTTAATAATAATATCAAATGGTCTATTCTTTGCTTGTATTTCATTATTATCAACTCTTTCTACTATTTCTTCAATTTTTTGAATCCTTTCTGAATATTTCTTTTTTGATATATTTATACCGTCAACAATAATTGCATCAAATAACATTAAAACTGGTCTTACTGTTCTTATATTCCTTACAATTTCCCCATCAAATAAACTTACTCCATTCTCACCATATGCTTTAACCATTTCTGGAAAATCAACTATAAAAAATTCCATTTTTCTTGTAACTAAATATACTTTATTTTCTGTAACAAGTACAAAATGACGAACACCATCAGTTTTTTCACTAACAATATAAGCATTCTTTTGAATAATATCAAATGATGTTCTTCCAAAATTAACTGGCATTGCTCCTGGAAAATTATTAACACTTCCATCTGCACCTTCAATTGAATCACAAATTAATCTCCCTAAAACATTAGTTAATTTATGTTCTTGTTTTTGTTCTATATCCCCAAAATAATTTCCATGGGAACGTTTAAGAAGGTTATATATTCTATTTACACAATACATATATTCTTTAATAATGTTTCTGACACTTGCTCTATTATCAAGTATTTTTTTTATTTCTTCTGACTTAAATTCAAATTCTATTTCAAATGATTCTTTTCCTTTATTTTTTCCATCTACTTGATAAACATGTGTAAAATCAATAACAATTTCTGGAACCCATACAAATTCTATCCTAGACTTTTCACGTGTAATATATGCATCCCCTAATTCTTTGTATTCTTCTAAATTTAATAGAGTTTCTCTTGATACTTGAATTCTTAATGAATAATCAAAAGAACTACCAAGTTGAAGTTCTTCTGTTTTACTTTTTTCTTTTAATTCTAATCGAATAAATTCTCTATCTTTACCAGTTACATACCTCAAATTCCCTCTTTCTCCTTTTTGATAGATCTTTTCAATTTCATGTGATTTTTTATGTGTTAAATTAAGTTGTTGCATATAATTCAATACTATATAAAATTCTTCTTGCTTTACTCCAGAAATAAATTTATGATCATTATCAAATATTCCTATACGTGACTCTACTTCTATACTACTATTACTCTGTGTATTATATTTAATTGTTTCCAACATTTTTGAATATTTTTCAATTGCTTGTTCTTGTTCTGGTGTTAATCCATCGTCTGTCATAATTATAATTTTCTTAGTTCATATTTTATTAGATCTGTCTTTTCAGTACTAATAATCTCTCGATATAATATTTATATATTCCCCACGACATCCTAACCTTAGCTAAAAAAAGTTATTATACTTAGTTACATTGTTGAATACCTTGAAATTTAAATTGATTATAATAAATAAATTAACATTGAAATATTTCTTTAAATTATAAAAAAAACACTTGTTATAAACCCAATTTCTTGTGCTTATAAAATAAAGTTAGAGACAATGAGTTAAACTTCTCCTAGAAGAGAGACATGAATAACTTCTACTCATCTACAAACCACAAATAACTTAAAACTTTATTTAATAGTTTTATATAACATATTGACTTATTAAACAAAAAATAATTCAAATAAAAGTAATGATATTGCTAGTTTTTATCCTAAATTATTTATTATAAACTTCTTAGTGTTAAGGTAAATTCACACACTTTTTTGAAGGGATTAAAGAAATAAAAACAACCAAAAAATGAAAATTTTTTATGTCAAAACAAAGAGTCTTTATTTTGTAGTTAAGTACTACTTAAAATTATGTTTATGTTTTTTGACAACCAAACATATAATAATTTTAACGTATTATCTTTAAGCTATTTCTATATTTTTATAAATAATGAAAAACAAAGTTGTTTTATATATGAAAGAATAATTTTTCTACAACGTAATAAAACAAAAATAATATTTAAGACCATCTACTTATCAACTCAAAATGATTGTTCTTTAAGTGCTCAAGAAAGAAATTGAAGTATTTGTGAAGAGACAAAAGCTTTTGAATCATCAAACATATCAAATGTAACATTACATGAAACTGTCACTCTCTTTTTTAATTTCATAGAAAATAATTGTGACAATGATTGAGAGTCTGAATCTAAAACATCTCCATAAAGTTGTGTTGTACTTGGTAGTTGTTCAACTGTTTTTTGAGATAAAGATAATCCATTTAATTCATTACTGTTTTTATATTGTATAACAACAATAATTTCTTTTTCAAGTATAATCATTTGAATTAAATACTTTTTATTAAGATGTTTGATTTGTTGATATTTAACTTCCATTTCATTTTTAAGATTTTTTATTTTCAAGATTATTTTTTGATTCATCTGTATCACAACGAATCTAAAAAATTCTAAAAAAATTCAAGAATGAATTATAAAAAACCAAAAAGAAATTTATCTTACTTCTTTTGGGATCGTTAAATTTGTTATGGTGTGTTACGAGAGGTTCTAAGTGATAAAGATCTTTGTCTAGAACTTAAAGAACTTCTCATTGAAGATCTGGAATTCTTAGTAGCAAAACCATTTGATGTTGATCTAGTTCTAGTAAGAGTTGGTCTTCTAACAGAATTTCTTCTCTGAGAATTAGTACTAAAACCACCAGCAATATTTGTTGATCCTCCACTACTAGATCTAGTATTGTTTAGATTATTTGTTGCACTTCCTGCATTAGAGCCATTTGCAGTTGTTTTTGATTTCTTTAATTTTTCAATTAATTTAGTTGCTGCTTTATCAAGTCTTGGACTTACATGTTTATCTACAGCAGCATTAACTTTTTTCTTTAATTTATTATATCCACTAACATCTTTAACTTTATCTTTAGCTAAGTCAATTTTTGATTCTACTTTAGAAACACCTTTCTTTAATTTACTTAATGCCTTACCAGCCCCACTGTTTTTAAATTTATCATATCCTTTCAATAAAGCTCTTCCAGTTTTTCCACTACTCATCATTTCTCTAACAGTATGTACTTCATAGTCAGTAACATTCTTATTTTCTCCAAACACCTTATCAACAAGTGCATGTGCAGCACCTTCCAATTTTCCTGTACCTTTTTCAATACCTGATGTAATTGGAGATGTGGCTAGTTCTCCAACTTTCTCTGAAACTGTATCTTTAGTTGCTTGTGAAAGTTTACTCAAAGAAGATGACTCATCTAACTTAGCACCCACAGCACCAGAGATAGTTTCTGAAAGACTTCCTGTTACTGCGTCAGAAAGCGCATCTGTTAGATGTTCTGTGCCTATACTTATTCCATCTTTTAGAAGTTGTCTAGCTCCTTCTTTTGCTCCAGCTTTTAGTCTCTCTTTAGTAGTTCCTTCTGTAACTTGATATCCTTTTGAAAATTGAGTTGCAGTCTTTGTTAAGACTCCTAATCCTTTAGCTCCATACTCAATTCCTTTAGCTACTTGAGAAACTGCTAATGCAGCACCAGCAACACCTGCCGCAGGAGGGAAAACTGGGGTAACAGCTGTAGCAACAAATCCAACCACATTAGCTGTTTTACTAGCTACACCTGCAACATTTTCAACTTTCTCCAAAACTTCAGCCACAGCATCTCCATTTTTAGCCATCCACAATGTTGACTCTTCAAGGACATCAGTTAGTGCACCCCTAACATTGGCAGCAGCATTCTGAGCTTTTTTTAATACACGCATTTTTGTTTTATCAATCTTATTTGCCACTTTTACTCGAGCATTTCGCCATCGCTTTCCCTTTAGAGTATCAGATAACAGAAAATCATTTGTCTCAAATAATGTCATAAAAGCATCTAATGCTTCATCATCTTGTTCTTCTTCAAAAGAGTCATATAAATGACTTCCAAAAGAAAGCTCTTCAATTAAATCAAATTCATCAAATGAAAATAAATCAGCTTTTACAACAGAGAAAAGTAAAGTAAGGAAGAATATTATATTCAACATCCTATTAATAATGTGGTTTTGCAGTTCTATCACTTGCTTTTTCAGCTTTGAATTATCTTTTGTAGTCAAAACACATTTACATTCCTTTTCAAGTCAGTGGTTTACTTTTTGACTTCATGAAACCCAAGAAGTTCTATTTATTCCTTCATTTTATTAAATTGGTTTTTTTATTAAATATCGATTTGATTTAACAAAAGGAGCATTGAATTTAAAAGTTTTGTTTTGGAGTTATTTCGTTTTATGGAAGTTGGATTTCAATCCTAAAATTTCATTGTTCTTCTTAATAACATATTTACTAGCATTTTATAAAAAGGTTTATTTTTTTTTTTGTTTTTTATGAAGAAGAAAACTTCTAAGTGAACTTAGTTAGAGTAAGTTTCCTTTGTTAATGGAAGATAGCACAAAAAAGTTAATTGAAATTTTAATGGAACCAACATATAAGTCACGTATTCCTGAAGAAGTTGTTGCTGATAGTTGTATTAGATTTATCGATTTTAGAACTAACAAAATTGAAAAAGAAGAAGATAGAAAACAAAGAATTCAAAAGATGATTCAAAAATACGATGTAAAGGAAGTTTTTATTGAGAATATTGTGACTGTTTTTAATCAAATTGTCTCAGATTTTAAGAAAAATGAAAATAAAACTGAAGAAGAGAAAGATATACCAATTTTTACACAAAAACATATTATCGAAATGGTTGAGACAGTAATCCAATGGGGGGTCATTCCAAATTTAACAAAAATTCATGTAGAAGAAGATGATGAAGAATTTATAGGGGAAAATACATTTATTATAAAAATAAACCCAAAAAGAAATACTAACAAACTAAAACTAATCATAGATTCAATACTACCAAATATTAAAATAGAAAATATGAATATAATAATAAAAGAGTATATGAAATATATTTATGCAGCTATTCTTGACATCGGACTAGATCAGTCTGAATTAAAACCCCTTCGTCCTTTTTTCGATCTTGAAATAAGTGTCAAATCTCTTATTCAATTAATTATCCAAAATACAGAACAAAGAAATATTATTCAAAAAGAATTATTTTATCTTATTACTGAATGTAATGGATTGATATATCTTCTTATATATTTTTCTGAAAAGGAATTTCAAGAAATACCAGAGGAAATGGCAATGTTTATTTTGAACCAACTTTTTATTAAAGAAGATCAACCATTATTTTATTCATATGTACTTAATAATTATCAAAATTTAATTGACTCAAACCTTCTTCCAAAAAATGAAATAAATCTATTGTATTTTATTGTGTTACCAGCATCTCAATTAGAAGACTGTATGAATAAAAATGCTATTCAACCTCTAAAAAGATTAAATCATATTATTTGTCAAAGAGAGTTGACAGGAACAAAATTCTCTTTTGAAGAACGGGAACAAATTCCTAATGAAATAAAAATAGTTGAGTGTTTTATTAATGTTGCAAACGTGTTATTTGATGATTTTCAACATAAACTTAAACAAACAGAATTTAACAATGAAATGGTTATAAGTATAATTGAGTTGGTCAAGTATTATCATAATAGTATTCTTTTTCAAGACAATGAAGAAGAAATAAAGAACAGTATTATTTCATTAAGTTGTTATTATTTCAAATTACTTGAAGATTATTCTGATATTATCAAAGAGATACAAAAGAATGAGTCTATCATCAAAAAAGAGGAATTAGACCATGATATTAATGAAATTATTCAGAAAATATATTTAACTTTATCTCATGAACAACAAATACAATTATTACTTAGCTGGAGTCAAGTTATTACAACAGAAAATGATTGTATTATTGTTATTACTTTATTAAATAAAACAAAACAATTAAAAGAAAATTCAACAGAATATATTAACATATTTCATATCTTATTAGAAAAATCTCCAAATACTAATATTGTTATGAATTATATTAATTATTTAATGGATGAATGGAAAAATAGTACATCAATTATTTATCATCAAAATACTATTAATGAACTTTTACCTTCTATCATTGAAAAAGATGGAAGCATGTATTCATCAATCATAGAGTTTTTAAGTATTTTACCATCAAGTACTTTAAAAAGTGAAGAATTAGAAAGAGATATAGAAAATATTACAAAAAATAATGATAATGATAATATGGTTCTTCTTAATAAATTACGTCTTGAACTAGTCAAACAAAAAACTCTTCATTTTAATGAAGAGAAAATAAAAATAATAATCAAAGATATAATAAATGTTTTATTATATAACACTAATATTACTTTACAAAAATTATTAATTTCTAATATCTCTTTAATTTCAATTCATATCAATCTACTTCCTTATTTACTTCCATTTATTAATAAAATAGATTCAGAAAATAGTGCTATTGTTTTCATTGAATTAATTATTTCAATTCTTTCTGTTAAAAGAAATGAAGTTATTAATGAAATACCTTCTTTATTAAATTCATTACTTTCAATTAAAATTCCTCACTTATTTCCTTATTTATCAATGGTTTTTAATTATTTATTTGAATTTATACCAACTTCAATATATAATTCTTTAGTAATAACTTATTTTATTAATTTAATAGACTTTTGTGATTTCAAAGAAGAAAGTAATGTTAATTCTCTTCTTCACTCTCTTCGTTCATTGACTGATGCTATTGATATTAATAAAGTAACATCAGTATTTACTATATCGCAACTTAACAAACTTCATTCTATCATTGGTTCTCTTTCTTCTTTAACTAATTCTAAAAATAAAAGTGGTTTAGAATTTATTTCATCAGAATTTGATAGTTATATTGATATATGTACTAACTCTTCTAATTCATCGTTTCTCTTTTATTTTTATTATGTTTTCTTTATCTTAAATAAATTTTTTTTATCTAAAAACCTTTTTGAATTAGATAATCAGCTAATTTTTCAACAACCAAAAGGCATTGTTCTTCTTTCATATAGTCTCCATATGTTGCAACAATTATTACTTGTTTTGTTTTTACAATAACAAAACCTTCGTCTTCTTTTTCTGACATGGCAGTGATTGTTCTATCACCTCCATATTGAATAATACATCCTGTCCCTTTAAGTTTTATTTTCATTCCTGTTTGCCTCTTCTTGGAATCACCAAACAATGATATTAAATTTGCAATTTCATTCTTTTCTAAATGGCAATGAAGTGAAACTGCATTTTCAGTTCCATCCATCCCAATTATTACAGCACTTTTACAATACCCAGAACCAATTAATTCAACATCTACGTATTCTTGCCATGTCATTTCAAGTTATGATTTTCAAGTTAAATTTAAAAAAAAATCTAAAATAAAAAATAACTAAATATGATGAAAAGAAAGTCATTACTCTTTAATAAATATATCTTGATTTCTAAAATGAAAAGAAATGAATCATAATCATTATGATAACCATATCTCTTTTCTTCTGGTGAAAAGGGATTAATATAAAAGGACTTTGTAATAAATTAAAAAGTATTAATCACCGATGTCACTACTGGCATTAATTTATCTTATTTACATGGCAAACGCTAACAACTGTGAAGGTCTTTCTAACGGATTTTATTGTATCGATAATAAAAACTATCTTTGGTGTTATGGAAGAACAGAAGGAACACCAGGTAAATGCCTAGGAGAAACTGTTTGTAAATGTGGCAGAACACAATATAACCCTTGTGTGTGGAATTTCCTTGACCTTCCTGATTGTGAAAAAAAGCCAGGTGATTTCTTTGAGAAGTCACCAGATTCTTCTGAATCTAAGCATGAATCTTCTGAAGTTAAACCAGACTCTTCTGAATCTAAACATGAATCTTCTGAAGTTAAACCAGACTCTTCTGAATCTAAACATGAATCTTCTGAGCCAGAAGTTAGTGTCCCAAAGAAAACAGTTGCTTATTATACTAATTGGGCACAATATAGATTCAATTCAATTGATGGATGGACTTGTAAATACACAGCAGATAATATTGATCCAACGATTGTGGATGTAATCAATTATGCTTTTGTTGTTTTTGATTCAACCTATACAGTTAAGGAATATGAATGGAATGATGACCAAATGATACCAAAAATTGTTGCAATGAAATCAAGAAATCCTAATCTCAAAGTTCTTGCTTCAATTGGAGGATGGAATTTCAATTTTTATGATTCAACAAAACACCTTTACAGCCAAATGGCAGAAAAGCAAGCAACTCGTGCTACATTCATTAAAAGTGCAATGAGCTTTGCAAGAAAATACAATCTTGATGGAATTGATATTGATTGGGAATATCCTGCAAATGAAGACCAAGGAGGAAGGCCTGTAGATACACAATCATTCACATTATTATTAAAAGAATTCAGAGAGGCTATAGACAAAGAAGCAGGTAATGGAAAATCCAAATTATTGTTGACAATTGCCGCACCTGCTGGTCCATGGAACATTAAAAACATTGAAATAAGTAAATTCCATCAATACATAGATTGGATTAATTTAATGACATATGATCTTCACGGGTCATGGGATGAAGTTACAGGATCTCATACTGCATTATATGCCACTGATGGAATTTCTGTTGATGACGCTGTTACAGCTTATTTAAATGCTGGAGTTCCATCAACTAAAATTATGTTGGGAATGGCTCATTATGGACGGGGTTGGACATTAAAATCAAGTTCTGATCATGAAATGGGATCTGCTGCAACTGGAGCTAGTAAAAGTGGGACTTGTACAGGAGAAAATGGATATTTATCTAAATATGAAATAGATGCTTTGATTCCCCAAGAAAATATTAAATTTGATTCAAAATCAAAGACAATGTATGGATATAAAAATGACCAATGGTTCTCTTTTGATACTAAAGAAACCTTTAAATATAAGGCAGATTATCTATGTAAGAAAAAACTTGGAGGTGTTATGTTCTGGTCATTAGATTTAGATAAAAATTATGTTAATACAAAATACATTAAGAGTCAAATTGAGAAATGTTAAAATAATTGAAACATACTCTTATCTACAAATATCATATCTTAGTTTTAAAAATTTTTTATTAACTTTTGTAATACAAATAGGAAATTTCAAAAAACGAAAGAAAGAAATTTCATTTTCAACAACCATGAATGTTGTCCATGATGCTTGTTTTTGAATGGACGACAGTAGTAAATATTGAGTAAAATAAAAATCTTAGAATACGACACTAACAAAAATAGAACAAATTTCGTTCGATATGCTCAATTTTGAAACTGAAAATACGATAATTAGGGTATTATCGTTTATTTATTTTTCTACTAATGTATCCATACTTACACATTTCAACTAAAGTACCAACGGATTTAAAACCACCCCAATTAGCAATTTCAACACAAACAATATACCGTCATCGTAATTTTACAACAACGATTACTTTATCTACTTCTTGGAGAGAATACCACCACCTTTCTTCTCAACAAATAATTAAGGCTTGTTTTGCAATGACATGTGTAAAAGAAACTGACAGAGAGATAATACCATCATGCTCAATTTGTCATCCTGATCGGGCTTTAGTTGAAATTGATCATTATGATGAACTTCAAATAGGACCTTCTACTCTAAAAGATGGGTTAGAAAAATACTCATTTAATTGTTGTAAGTCATATTGTTCTTCATCAAGAAATCATCAACACTCAAGAATATGTCTATGCCTTGACCTTCCTGGAGGTCCTTTTTATTCAGCACCATTTATTCTTCAAGCTCGAGATAAAAAAGAATATCAAAAAGAACTTGTTACTCTTGCTGTTGCTTCTGATAATAAGAAATATGTATTAGAACAACTTCGTCTTTCTGTAGTAGAATTTGGAGAGTGTTGTATTAAAAATGGAACGATATATGGTTATTTATTCTTTAATTGTGATAAAGAACGTGTGGGAGAGGCACAAAATTTAATCCATTCAATTCTAACTGGAGAATTTGGCCAAAAGAATATAACGAGGTATTACCTCAACTCAAGTCTTGACTCAGAATAAATTAATTGTACTTACTATTTTTCACATTTAAGATTCATAATATAAAATATAACAATCAGAAGGATGTGGAAAATAGACATATAAAAATAATTCCAATTCATTCCTTTAAAGAGAGGTCTTTGTTTATAAAACATAGCCTTTTTATTCTGAGTCAGAAGAAGACGAAGAAGATGATACCTTTGCATTCTTACGTTTAATTTTTTCACTCAATGCTTCTTTCTTAGTTTCTGTTTTAGATAATTTCTTTTGTTTAATTTCTTTTTGTTTAGCTTCTTTTTTTTGTTTGCTAAGACTTGATTCAGATTTTCGACATAGGGTTAGCCATTCTGGTTTACTTTGAACAGTAATATTACGCCAATCAACAAAATGATATTTAGGCTCTTTTGTTGAATGAAAGAAATCAATATCTTCTTCTTTTTCTTGGTCTTCATACTCTTCTGGAATAATAACCTCAAGTCCATCAACAAATGGTTTTGAAACTGACATCTTTTTCTTATTATTAACTAATGGAATAACGCTTTGGTATGAAGTCTTTTCCATAGGAACTACAGTATTTTTTTTACCTTTAGAGTTATAGGTCAATTGTTTAATTTTTGATATGTCGTATGAACGTGGGTAAGTGATCAACACCATCTCATATTCGTCACTATTCATTTTGTCTATCAATGACATTTCTTCTGACTTTGTTTTTTAAAAAGATTTTCTTTAATTTTAAAAACCTAATTTTTTTTTTAAAATAAACAATAAAACTAATTTCTTTAATTTATTTACTACAGTATTAGTTTTATTATTAAATATCGTTATATATAACTAAAATAAAAACAAACATTAGCATTTAATGGTAAGTCATCATCTTCTTGAACTGCTGTGTAATTCACTTCGGCAAAAGGATCATTTGGTATTTCACTTTCTGTGTATTTATTTTTCCAACAACGAGACACGAAGAACCATGTAAGAAATGTCATAATTATTAAGAAGATAATAACAATAGCGGTAGCGATTCCAAGAATATAATATCCCATCCAATCCATTTCTTCCACAACTAATCTTATTTCTTAATTCTTCTTTAATAATAAGTTCTGTTATGTATTAGTATCAAAAACAATCGAAAAGAAAAAACAATAAAAAATAAAAATGTCATTCATTTAAGGTTTCTTTGTTCCTGCATAATTACTAGAGAATGGACGTTTTATCCCTCCTAAGTTACTTGGTTTCTTTGTAGGAACAAATGCTTTATTAATTTTAATCGGCTGTAATCTAGAATTACTAGAAGAGGAGGTTGTTGGAGTTGTTGATGTTTTCTTGAAGAAATTTTGTATTGTAGTACTTCGTTGTTGTGATGGTCTTCTTTGTTGAACTCTTTGGCGTTGTTTCATCATTTGAGCTCGACCTATCATTTCATGTTCTTCTCTGTCTTTGACAAGATCATCTTTAATAGCTTCTCTTTCTAGATCAGACCAACTTTCTCCATCATCGTCCTCTTCTTCACTACTTGAACTTGATTCTTCTTCACTTGAAAGGTCAGTAGAAAGGTCATCCTCTGCATCTAATTCTTTTTCTAATTCTTCATCAGGTTCAAAAACTTCTTCTGACTCTTCACTGTCAGACTTGGTATTGTCTGCATCTAAGAATGACCAACCTTTCTCAGCAAAAGCCACTGGGTCTGAATTAACAGCTTCCATAATATTTATCCAATTTAAACTCTGGACTGTTTCATAACTTTTAATTTCACATTTATTTAACCATTTTTTGATATGATCTAAATCAGTTTTTGAAACTGAACTAATTTGTAATACTGGTTTATGATGGTCTTTAAAAATTACTACCATATCAAAATTTTTTAAGGTAAGACTTCTTGATAATCTTTCAAAAACTACAACTTCTATTGTATCTAATTCAATGACTTTGTATGGAGCATCAGAAATATTAATAAGACATTTAACAGTTGGAACTAAAGTAGCTGTATTTCTTTTAATTGTTCCTCCAAACTTTAATTCTCTGAAAGGAACTTCAAAACTAACAGGAATATCTTTTTCTTTGACTTTTGTTAAAAATTCAGCATATAAATGATTATATTTTGCACGAATTCTTTTTTCTCTTTCTTCTTCTCTTGCTTCTTCTGCTTCGCTATAATACCTATCTCCACGATCAATATTAAGTGAAATATCCATAATTTCATTATAAAATTGAATATCTGATATAGGTCTGTTTTGAATAATAACTGGTGGATCCATATGAAAATGTAGTAATATAACTGTTTCTGTATCACCATTTTGGAAAAAGGCGTGTTGAATATTATCATACATTAGCTCTACATTTCCACCTGATGAAACAAATCTAAATCCATTCATATGTGCTTCAAGAACACCTTCAGTTCTTTTTCCTTTTAATACTGGATTAATGCAAACTGACCTAAGTATTGGGACACTTTCTTTTCTTAACACCAATTTCTCTTCTTTCATTCCTCTTATATTTCTAATCTTCTCTTCTTCATTCCATTTTTTTTTCATTTCTTTCCAATCATTTTCTATTCTTGAAATTCTATCTGAGTCTCTTACATGAAATGATAATTCTTTTACATAAACTGTTCCTTCTTCAGTCTCTCTAGGAACATTAAAATTAATACGGAAAAATCCTTCTCTTGTAGTAATGTTTTTAATATATGCAACATGAAATGGAACTAATTGACCATTAATTGGTAATAAAATAGCATATTTTTTTACATCAGAATTAATATATAATGCATTTTTTGAAGGCATTTCTTTTTGGTTATTATAACATATTGCTTTAATTTTTTCTTTTTTTAACGTTTCTACTTTTGGTCTATGTTCTTCTTTCATAGTTTCTTTTCTTTGTTGTTCATATTCTTTTAATTCATCTTCATCTTCTTGTTGTTTCTTATCTCTGAATTTAGATAATACTTCTGCTGGTTCTTCTTCATCTTTAAATGAGAAGAAGACACTAGAACTATTACTACCAACAAATTTAGTTAAATTAATAAGTCCTTTACTACCAATATAACATGTATCACAAATCATTAATTGACCACTCCAAACTCGAATCATTATAACACTTCCTTCTTTTAATATTTCTTCTCCTTTAATAATCTCGACTTGTTGACTTAATCCTGCTACTTCAATTACTTTAGTATCAACTTTTATTCCTGACTTATATTTACTTGCTAATGTTTGTTCTAATCTTAATAATTGGTTATACGTATGTTTAATTTCTTTGCTAACATCAACACCATAAGTTCTTGCAACGATAGCAGTTTCACCTTCAATTTGTACTTTTATATAAACAAACATGATGGTATCTTTCAAACAACCTTCTGAAGTGACTGGTGGCCATGTGTGAGTAAAAGTTCCTGATAGTACTTGTGCGTCAACAATACTTTGTTCAGCATTAGGTACTTCTTTTAAGATTTTTTCATCTTTTACTCCACTTTTAATATACTCTACAATATCTTTGTGTGACACTTGATCTTCTGTTTCCAATATATCTTTCATTTTAGGAACAAATCGTTTTTTGAGAAGGAGACATGAAAGTTGAGAAGCTGATTTCATCTTTTTGAGTATTTTTTGAAGTTCCTTTTTCCTTTTCAATTTTTAAAAATTTTATTTTACTATATTTATTTGTAAAAATATTATTAAATTATAATTTTCTATCTTGGATTTGCAATAAAACTTTTACTCTCTTTCTCTTTGTTCTCTGTTATAAAACATTTAGATAAAATAAACTCAAACTACAATTTATTCAAAAAGAAATGAGCCTGATTGATACAGACAATCAAAACATTATCAATGAATGTAAAAAAATGCTTAGAACAACAAATACAAGTCTGTATGTTTACTCTCATTCATACAAAGTAATGCAATTATCTCTTGAAATTTATGACTTAGTCTCACCACTTTGTAAGGTAAACAAAACAAATTTAATCATGGGAGCTTTACTCCATGATATCACTAAAACACGTTCTTTGGTTACAAAAGAAGATCATCCATTAACAGGTGCTAATGTTGCAAGAGAATTAGGGTGTAGTGAAGCAATTTGTCAAATAATTGCCCAACACGTTAACCCAATAAGAGTTCCAGGGAAATTAACAGAAATTGACATTGTTTGTTATGCTGATAAAAGAGTAAAATGGGACTATATAGTAACAATGCAAGAACGAATAGACGATGTATGTATTCGTTATAACATAAAGAAAGATTCTCAATTTTGCTCTGTCTGTACTCAGTCATATCTACAAATTGAACAAGAAATAGGCGAATATGCTAAGAAAAATGGTCAATGGGATCATTTTATTGAATTTATCCATCGTACAGAAGAAGGAAAAGTAACTCCATTCATTGGAATGGAAAAAACGGATTTAATTTAATAAAAAAACAATGCCTCTTTGGTTTGTTTTAATTAATTTAGTTGGTTTATTCTTGTTTATGAATAGCATGGACTGGACAACACAGAATGGCTTTATTGCATGATTCTATCTCTTCTGGGGTTGTTGGCTGTTTTTTCACATAAGAATGAATTTCACTATTGATTCGACCAAAATTATTAGGGGCGTGTCTTCTACAATTTCCACAATCAATACATTTTTTATCAACATAATAAGGACCAGCAACATTTTGTGGCCAACGTTCTAGATTTCTTTGCATAGGCTAATAATGATTAAGTTATTCTTTTTAATAGTTCTTTATAAAGACGTGTCTTTTAGTTACTTTAAGATGATGATGTGTCAAGATGTCAAAATACAAAAGAAAGAGAAAAATAAAAAAGAATGAACTTTTATTTAGAATAAGTTTTCATACCAAATAAGAAAATCATAAGATTACACAATTATTTTTCTTTTGTAGATTTCCTTGTTGTTCAACTAACCGTCTTGCTAATAATGAAAAGATTTCGTTAATATTTTCATTACGTTTAGCTGACGTTTCTAGAAAATCACAACCATGAGTATTACAAAATTCTTGAACCTCTTCATTTTTTACAACTTTGTCATCAAGGTCGCACTTATTACCAGCAACAAGTATTGGTGGTAACGTTAATGGCACATCACCACCATTCATAGAAGTAGTAATATTGACAATATCATTATAAATACCCTTAATACCATTAAAAGAATCATTGTCATCCACAGCATAAACTAAAACAAACCCATCCCCTTCTTTAATATAAAGTTCATGTAGTGTTCTGAATTGTTCCTTAATTATGAGTTAAAGTAAAGGTTAAGTATTAAAAAGTTTTACAAAACAAACTGAACCAGCCGTATCATAAACAGATAAATAAATTTGTTTATCGTCAAATTCAATTGTCTTGTTAAAGGTTTGTTCAATAGTTGGATCATATCCAGAAATAAACGTGTTTTTAGTAAAACGAAAAGCAATGGCAGATTTACCAACAAAAGCAGGACCTAACAAAACAATTTTGAAGCGGTATGACTGTGACATAAAGGGTTTTTTGAAGTAAATATTTTTAAGTTCTCATTTAAGGTTTAAAAAAAAAATGAAAGAATTAGAATAATAATTAGTCTTGTTGTATTTTCCTGTTATTAAAGAAAAAGAAATTAATGTAATAAGTATTGAATTAAGTATTGATAGAACTAGCCTCTATTACTTCTGTCTCAAGGAAGATTAGTCCTGTCACTTCGTCTTCTTCTAGCATTTCTACAAAGAGGCACAAAAATTAGCAAAGAAAAATGCATCTAAA